AAAAAGAAACAAAATACTTGAAAGAGAGACAAGAGACCTGAAACCATCACTAACTAATCCTATAACCTTGGGCACATACCTCCTCTCCTTCAGTTTTCCCATCTGTGTGGTGACGATAATAATACCAGTTGTGTTTATTCTGAGCTGTTTGAGAATTAAGTAGTAAATGGAAGCTGGTTGAGCAGTGTGAAACACTAGCACAGGGGTAGTATTCTGTTGAGTGGGTGAGAGCCTGGACTCGGGTGAGACTGCCTGGGTTCAAGACCAGCACTTTTCCTGGCCTACCTCAGTGACCTTACGCACACCATGAACTCTCTCTCTGATGCAGAGTTTCTCCTCTGTGATTTGAGGGTAGGAACAGTACAGTACCTGTCTGTCAGGCCACTTTGAGGATTAAATGAAATAATGCACCCTTGGAGGAGTGCCAGGCAGACATTAAGAACTCTACAGGCTACAGTTCTTTGGTTACCTTTCATCTGGTTTTGAAACACATATTTTCCAAGTTCTGGAAGTAGGTCACACAGATATACCCATATAAACAAAGTCAGCAGTGCTTCAGAGAACACGAGTGTATCCCTTGTCCCTACAGATAACAGTGCTCAGGTGAGGGGCAGTAGCTGCATAGAAGTGTCCTAGAGAGGAAAGTTTCTGGCTTGATTATAAGACAAAACTACTCATTAGTCCTTTTCTGGGTATCTTCTAAGTGGCAGGTGCTGAGGGTGTGAAAATAAATCAGATGTGGAAGTTGCCCCTCTAGGAGACCATGAGGAGATGGGGCAGGGAGACACAGAGTAGCATGTGCTCTGAGTACTCTGACAGGGCTGTGGATGGCATCTTCCAGGATAGAGGGGGGAACCGGGTCAGACCCTGGATGGACCAGGTGAGTCTCAGGTGGAGGTGGGAAGCAGGTGCACTGCAGGTGTAGAGGAACACTGACTTACTGCTCAGGGGGAGTCAGAAAGCTTCATGCTATTGAGTTGAATCCTGGAAGATAAGTAGGCATTTTCCAGGAGGAAGCTGTGGAGAAGGCATCCCAGAGAACTGCCCTCCTTCTGTGAGGTAGTCACTGCCACTTAGATTTCCAACCAGAGCCATGCTAGAGTTTCTGGGTTATTTCAAGTTTCTTAGGATCTGTTCACCCTCTTTTCTGGAAAAAAAAAAAAAAAAAAAGTCCTGGGCCTGTCATGGAGCTCTGCCTTCATTCCAGTGGGGTTTAGAGCTGTGCTGTCTAATATGGTAGCCACTAGCTCTATGTGACTCTTTATATCAAAATTAATTAAAATTAACATTAAAAGTTGGAGCGCCTGGGTGGCTCAGTGGGTTGGATGTCCAATTCTTAATTTTGGCTCAGGTCATGATCTTGCAGTCCTGGAATGGAGCCTGTGTGGGGCTCTGGGTTGAGCCTGCTCGAGATTTTCTCCCTCCCTCACACTTTATCTCTTCTCTGCTTGTGCACATGCTCTCTCTCAAAAAATAAAAAAATAAAAACAATAATAAAATTTTTAAAAATTAAATAAAATGAAAGGTTGAGGCCCTCAGTCACACTAGCCACAGTTCAGGTGCCCAGTAGCCACATATGGTTAGTGGCCTCCACGTGGCTGGCCCAGACATGTCTGTCACCACAGAAAATTCTGTCAAATAGTACTTTTCTAGAGAGTGCCCTGGCATCACACAGAGAAAGGAGTGGGATGTTTCTTTCTGCTCCCTCTCAACTCCTGCTGTTGTGAAACTCCACGCTGGGTGCACAGGCTCTCAGGGGTTTTAGCCAGTTCTGCCCCAGGATCTTCAAGAGCCAGAAGCTGTCCAGTTAGACCTCATGCAGTGACATCTGCTTTCTTCTGGACCAGAGTCCTGCCACACCCTGCCTGGATTCAGCTTAAAATAGAGCATGGGTAGTGAAGATCTGGTTCATTTCAAAAACTGATAAAGTAAAAGCTTTTATTCACCCCTCTTCACTAGCACAGAAATCCTCCTATGAACTCACAGAGGCTTGGTTCTTGTGTGTGAAGAGAGCCAGAGGGAGGGAGGTTGCTTGGAGGAGTCACTGCCTTTAGGAGGCTTGGACGAACACTGCTGCTTCAGAATTCTTAGTGTCACGCACTGGGGCATGTCGGGATGATCAGTACCTGTGAGGCGATTGTCCAAGTCCACAGTGATTAATACTGGATGCTGGATTCTGGCTTTGCATTCAAGAACTCTCTTTGCAAGCAGGCAAAGCTTACTGCTTGGTAGCGATCATAGCGAGGTATCCCTGGATGTGTCCACTGCCCTTGATGGAACAACAAACTGTACTTGGACCAGTATCATCAGACGAGCCAAAACAATGTGCTCCTCAGGAATGATAATCCTGTTGTAAAGCAAGAGGAACAAAGCATCTTCTCCACAGCACTTAACTTCTGAACCTGCTGTCAATACCATTGTGTTCAAGTTTCCATTATGACTTGTGATTTGCCACAAAATCATTTTATTGTGTTCCTGTGTCTCTGGAGATTACACAGAGCCAAGATCTGCGTGTAATAATTACAGTTTAAGAGCTTTGGGGAAGTTTGATTTACAGCTACTACGTGACCTGATTTTAGGGGGAGTTTAACCTACCTTAATCGAGGTTCAGTTAGAATTTTCCAGAGTAGCTTTCATTTTAGGAAGCTAAATCCATCTGGATAACATGCTGATGTTATAAATTATAACATCTACCCCATCTGTTGAAGTAACTTGGAAGTTCAGAGTTAGCCTGTCAGTAAGTCTGCAAGAAGAGAGAAATCTTTTTTCCAGAATGTTGCTTTTCCTTCACTCGTGGTTTGTTGGCCCCTCACCTCTGAAGGGGAGTTTTCAGTGTCTGAAAACTCTCCCTGGTTCCATAGACAATCAAACACAGAGTCTTGAAACCTCGGTCATGTTTAGTCTCAGGGTCGGCTGGTTACTTGCTGCCTTGTTTCAGCTTATGGTCATCCTCTGTAATCTATGAGTAGGATGACATGTGTCTAGAAAGGTCAGACAGACCAACACAGAAGCAGCAGGTCCGTATCCGCTGGAACTTGTATCGGCATCATTTGAGCACCTACAGTGGACAGTTCAGCAGCTGACCCAAGAGGCTCACTCGGCATCAGTGAAACCACAGATTGCGTTGGCCCCGTCTTGTCCAGGAAAGGGCAGAAAGGTAACTGGTGGAATGAAGATAATGCACAGGCATCGGTAACCCTGCTGGGCCTCAGTGCAATAGAGCCAGAGGAGAGAGGCCGTTTCAGAGATGCTTCGTCTCTGTGAGTGGGGGGAACCTGCCAGGACTTTTCAGCACCCCCAGTTCTAATCCTGGTGTTTCACTGGGTTTGAGCCTCACAGGGGTTGCACACTGTGCCTTCAAGGTGCAGGCTCCAGGGCCTCCTGAATGGTGCACGGGAGAAGACAAGGCAGGAGAAGGGCTGAGTGGTTTGTCTTGGCTGGGAGAGAGAGCACGCTTTTTTCAATGTTTATTTATTTTTAAGAGGGGGGGCTGGGGCAGAGAGAGAGAGGGAGACACAGAATCTGAAACAGGCTCCAGGTTCTGAGCTGTCAGCACAGAGCCTGATATGGAGCTCGAACTCACAAACCGTGAGATCATGACCTGAGCTGAAGTTGGACACTTAACCAACTGAGCCACCCAGGTGCCCCAAGAACAGGTGATTTTTAAATCTCCCCTTTATTAAAACTTTACTTACAAAAAAGAAAATAGAGAGGGTTTTATTTGATGTTTTGCTCTGGATAGTTCTCAGATACTTGTACTAATAACAAGACTAAAGGGCTTTAATAATCCATCCATTGCCCTTTCACGAGGAGGAGGTTTTTGTTCTTTTCCCCTAATAATAAGATACAGAGTATCAGTACGGAGCTAACTATGGAACAGGAGAATCAAGAGCTTCTCTCTGCAGAGGTGAAACAGAAGGGGGAGGGGGCAGGGAGTCGCATGGAGAATACCACTCCTCCTCCCAAATCCGAGCTTGCTGAATAAGTGAACGTTACCCTCTCTACAAGATGTGTTTGCATACCTTCTATATGTTTTGCAACTTTAGTGATTCACCTGATGAATTACAATAGGAATAAGAAGGGAAATTGGGAGTATGAGTCACACCCCATGAGTTTGGACTAGTTGGAGAAAAGGCTGGTCTGAATTAGTGTGAACTCATGAAGCATCTAAACTATCTAAACTTAATATATATGAAGAGTTTTATTCTTTTTAGTATATATTGGGACAAACATGGAGACATAAATACATAAGTGTATGTATACACATATATACATATATATGTTTATATGTAAATACTTGTATTCCTTTAAATGCCACTGAAGCATCACTTAGGAGTAGCTCCTGCAGAGAGCACTTGTAGACCTGGACCCATCCTGGTCTGTCACTAACTTGCTGACTCCTGGACCAGGGTCATCAGCTCGGCACTACTGATACTTTGGGCTGGATAATTCTTTGCTGTGTGAAGCTGTCCTATTCACTGTAGGATGTTTAGCAGCGTCCCTGGCCTCTCTGCACTGGCTGCCAGGAGCAACCCCCTGCCCGTGACAACCAAAAATGTCTATCATACACTTCCAGACATTGTGCTGGTTGAGAAGCACTGTTTTAGACCATGGTGGATCACCCTCCAGGCCATCGAGTCCTCATCAATAAACTGAGGAGGGCACCTTCCAGTCCCCTTCCAGATCTAATGCTTCCAGGATGCCAGACACAGAAGCCACCTAACACCTGTGGTGTGATCGCTGGTGCGCGGGTGGAAACGTACTCTGAAGGTTAAACATGCACGCTCTCATTTATATTATCTATGCGCTTATATAAACTACCCTGCTTGCCCAGTTACCAAATACCGGAGGATGAATGGTACTGCACTGTATTCTTAAGAAGCCCAAAATGGACTCAGAGGTGCTCTTACTTTTTACTAAACTTTATCCACACAGCTATATTTAACTGAAGGAAGTTCTGGAAATGATTTGGCTAAACTACCTGCTTTTCTTTCCCACAGGAATCCTTACATTAAAGAGAGCAAATGAACTTCTGAGCACATGTGTGCCAGGCAGTTTTCTGATCCGAGTCAGTGAGAGGATCAAGGGCTATGCCCTGTCCTATCTGTCTGAGGATGGCTGCAAACATTTCCTCATAGATGCCTCGACGGACTCCTATAGCTTCCTGGGTGTGGACCGGCTGCAGCACGCCACGCTGGCGGACCTGGTGGAATATCACAAGGTGAAGCCATGTGCAGACTTAATTTGCTCTGTGAATTGTTGTCCTGCAGCAGCTCTAGCAGTAAAAGGCAATTACAGGAAAAAAGATTGAGACAAGTAATGGGGGGATTAGTCTTTGATAATTCTTCCGGATAATCAGGATTCTTAATTGCATTTCCTTTTTCATTGAACCTAGTTCCTCCTCAAATACTCAGGGAGAACCCACTGGGGCAGAGAATGTAGAAGATACTAAAAATCTGTGCACACACTGACCGCATCTGAGAGCACTCTTCCTTAGAACGCAAGCCTGGGAAGGAAATGTGCAGATGAGAAAATCTGCAGTTTGCAGATGAGAAAAATCTCTTTAAAGATTGCCAGAAACTAACAAAGCTTAAGGGCACGCAGGAAGTTATATACCCCGAGGAGGCAGAAAGGGCATGACGTTATTATTTATGCTGGCTTACCCACCCGCCCAGCCACAGCCCAGCCTGACCTGTGCCTTCTGATTCACAGGAGGAACCCATAACTTCCCTGGGGAGAGAGCTCCTTCGGTACCCCTGTGGTCAGCAGGACGAGCCGCCCGACTACCTGGAGCTCTTTGAGTGACAGCCTCCCTTGTGTCGCCCTGTAACCTCCAGCTGGGCTCTCCTCTGGACAGACATCGCGGAAATAGACATTTGTGTGTGAAGCCAAAGTCACCCTGCGGCAGAGCCAATGCTGATCCACCGGAAGTATCCTTGGAGCCCCACGGAAATCTCTCTTCTGCACAAATGCTGGAGTTTAATGTGAAAACAAAATTGCCTCTGCAGAACATTCACTCCGAAAGTAAAGGGATGATTCCCAATTTCAGTAACTACCTAACACCAAGGATACAACCCTAATGACCTATATAAAATGAACAAAGAAGAGACTGAGACCTTTTAGGAATGAAGGCATTACTTCAAAAACCAATAGCTCATGTGAACTGTTTCATGACTGATACATTCCCTCTTTGCGTTGTTTCGAAATGTCCCAGGATTGTGCTTATTTTAAAGTTCCATGTTGGTTTGGGGAGCTGGCAGAAGAGCCTTTACTGGTGGCTGAAATGACCCCACAAACACACTTCATTTATTAGGCATGTTGGAGCCAGGATGGAAGAGACACAGAAGAACAAAAGCTGGGAATGTAAATTGACCGAGGAGTTTAAAAACGTAGGAGAGGCTTAACGTGTAAAGAAGTACCGTGGGCTGCAAGGGCGTGAGCAGACGTCTGCAAACGTTTGCCCCTGGACAGGATGGCGCTTGCCCTGGCTACCTTGGCTGCATCCAGGAGCACACCAAGCTGGAGGAAGCGTGAGGTGTTTATCGGTGGGGATGGACCAGAACAGAATAGTGAGCTGTGTGATTACTACTTGCTGTGGGTTGAACAGTGTCCCCAGAAAGAGATGTTGAAGTCCCAAGCTCTGGTACCTGTGAACGTGACCTTATTTGGGAATAGGCTCTTGGCAGATGTGACCAAGTTAAGATGGTTCATACTGGATTCAGGTGGACCTTCGGCCCAATGACTGGGGCCCTTCGCAGGAGAGGAGGGATTTGGAGAGACATGAAGAGGTGAGGCGGCCATGGGACGACAGAGGTGGAGGCTGGAGACATGCAGCCGCAGCCCGGGAGTGGCAGGTGGCGCTGGTGACCCCCAGCAGCTAGGACAGCAGTATGGAACACCCTCCCCCCAGAGCCTTGGAAGGGAATATGGCTCTTCTGACACCTTGGTCTCAGACCTCTGGCCTCCAGAACTAAGAGAATAAATTTCTGTTGCCCTAAGCCCTCGAGTTTATGGTAATTTGTTAGAGCAGCCCTGGGAAAGGTAGCACAAAAGTTCATGTAATTGTGGAATGTGACACACATTATGTACCATTTGTGGCTCTACAGTCTTCCTTCCTGATAATGTAGGTAAACGGGGAGATGAGACTAACCTCCCCAAGTGGGATGCAGATTTGCTCAGCCAGGAATCCTCTGCCTCACTGCATCCCCATCCCCCAGCCTCCAGCCCAGTAAGGGCACCGGCCTCTGGGCAGCGACCAGGATGCGTGGACACTCTGAGCCACGGGTTCTTCTCCTGGGGAGATGGAGACTTCCTTGCACTTCAGGCCTACCCTGTGTCCGCGTTCCTCCAGAAGAGGCAGGGGTTGCAGCACTTAGTCCTTGAGATGGTTGGTTGTGTAAAATGTAGCGAGAGAGAGGGTGGGGTCCGTGTGTATGTGTGAGAGTGTGTATGGGTGCACATGTGTGCTTTCCTGAGAAAGTTTTCAAACACAGATCATTATAAAGTATTACTTGAATTGTTGCATGTGTTTGTACAGTCTGAGGGACAACTGTCAGTGACACATTTGTCCAAGAGAACCTGTGTTTGGGCTTTCATTCCTGTGACTCAACAGCCATGACCTTATAGAATTGCAAAGATAGCACAGGAAAGGAAGTCACAAACTTCTATTCTGTCCCCGTATCTTCCCACCATTAGCTCTCTGAACTTCAGTTTTCACTTCTAATAAAAAAGTACATTTTTTAAAAATTGCAGTGTACTTGACATTTACCATTAAATTAGTTTCAGGTCCATAGCATAATGGTTTGATATTTGCATATGCTGTGAAATGATCACCATTTTAGCATAGTTATCCATCACCTTACAAAGCTAAGCATTTTTTTTCTTGTGATAACTTTTTTAAGATCTACTTTCTTAGTAACTTTCAAATATGCACTATAGGATTATTAACTATAGTCACCATACTGTACATCTCCATGACTTATTTATTTTATAACTGGAAGACTACACCTCTTGATCCCCCTTCACCCATTTGCCCAGCCCCCAACCCTCCTTCCCTCTGGCAACCACCATTCTATTCTCTATCTGTGAGTTTGGCTTGGTTTCAGATGCTTTTTAGATTCGATATGTAAGTGAAACCATAGGGTAACTGTCTATCTCTGACTTATTTCACTCAGCATAACACCCTCAAAGCCTCATGTCACAAATGGCAAGATCCCTTTTTTTTGATTAATATTCCATTGTATATATATACATACCACATCTTTTTATCCACTCATCTATCAGTGGACACCTAGGTTGCTTGTCTACTGTAAATACTGAAATGAACATAGGGGTGCATGTATCTTTTTGAATTGGTATTTTTGCTTTCTTTGGATAAATACCCAGAAGGAGAATTACTGGGTCATATGGTAGTTCTATTTTAATTAAAAGAAGGCGCTTTTACTAGCTGGTTTTTATTAATTTCATCCAGTTCTGAAATCTTAAGGTTTTGAAATAAATAGAAAAGTACCCTATAGTCACTAATAATTAGGAAGACATTCAATTCCAGCATCACCCTCTGCCTAGAATATTTTGGAGGAAATAAGTACAGTCATACCCAGATATAAGGACACTAATTAACATCCCATTGGGGAAACAGCAAATGACCTGACTGAATTAACCTAATAGTACAAGGGGGAGCAGATCTGAGTTCTGTACTGTTTTATCCTGTTGGTTATTAATATTCAGAGGAATAAGCTGTCCATTGTTTGATGATGTGATGGCCACGAGTAATACTTGCAATTCTTAGGGAGAGAAAATGGTAAAGAAATCAGAAACTGATGAACACTAAATGAGGTTGAGGGGGCCTGCATTCTCATCCTAGCTCAGCTATTAGACACAGTTTCCCTGTGTCTGAGCCTAGTTATGACCTAAAGCAAGGATATCCAGACCCTGGTCCTGGGCCCCTCCTTCTGCTGCCTCAACGAGCCCAGCCCCCTTAACCTGCCTAAAGTCTCTTGGTCTAGTATGTTCCTCTCCTGTTACTGTCCAGGTTCTGGCCCTATCTCTTTGGGACTGTGGGTAGATGCCCTCTCACTGCCCATGTCAATTCTTCTCTTTCTCAACTCCCTCGATGAGATTCTAGAATCTCCTAGTCCTTTCAGACTCTCTGGCTGCCATCCCTCTACTGCCAGACTGTCACAATCGTTAACCCCCATCAGATCACCTGTCAGGCCCCTGGTTCTGGCCTCCGACCCTACCCTGCTATGGGAGGAGGCACAAGGAAGTTACTTTGTCCCTCAGCGTCCCCAGCAGAGCTAAGTAATGCCAAGAAATGTTAGTGGGTCCAAACCTCAGACCAGGAAGAGGAAAATGATACGGAGAGTGAAGAAAAAGGATGAAGAAAAGGGAGAAAAAGTGAAAATGGGCCACGGACAGGTCCCTTAAAATATCTTAGATGCATTTATAGACAAAATTGCCTGAGCTACACTCCAGAATTAACCATCCTTTTAAGTGTACAAGTATGACAGGTGCTCATGTGGCACAGAATCTGCTTTCAGCTTTGGAAAAGAAGAAATTCATGGCCTGAAGTTTTGCAGTTGCTCCTTTCCATAGAGACAGCTTTCTCGTTGGAGTTCAAACACGCGTTATGGGCACGTGTGAGGACACAGACACCTTGGGACGCCGGGCGTGTGATGCACACACACACAAATGACTTACAGGGGACACGTGGATGTGTCTCCCTGGGCCTCTGCTTTCGTTTTTGCCAAGGATGTGATAAATACTTTCAGACGGCAGCCTGTAGGTCTTTTTTTAGAAGGTACGTTTCTACAGTTACATCTTTAAAGAGCACATCTGTTTGCCTCACGCCTTCCCTTCCTCAGGAGCGGAGCGGTCACAAACCTTACCTGATTTCTGCCCTCTGCCTCCCGTCCTCATGGTTTTCAGCTCTTCCGCCTTTTCTGTTGTATTTCTGGAGAGCTCCTCACCGCTTTCCTTCCCCATCACAGGCTTCCTGCCTCCACTGTGGACTCTACCGTTCTATTTCCAGCGCACCCGCTGTGCTTCCTTCTGTCCCTGTGCCGGATCCTGACACTTCCTCCTACTGCCTCAGACTGCAAACTCGCAAGAGGCTTACACAACAAAAGTGTTCTTTTTATTGTGTGGCAGCAACACACTATTTAGTCTGGAGTTAGCTCGGTATAGGAGAAAGTCAGGGTTGGGATCCTGGCTGTATCATTAACCAGCTGGGTGGAATCTTAAGAGAGAAAAAAGCAAGCCTGTCTGAGCTCCAGCTCTCAAATCGGAGTTACCACACCCATTGGGTTCTGAGGTCTAAAGACCGATGCAGAGTGTCTGGCATATGTACAGTTCTCCGCAAATGGTAGTTATGCCTTGTGAATCACGGGTCCAACAAAGCTTGGGTCCTCACTCCATGCTCCTCTGTTATCGCCGTGGCTTATATCACCAATGGGCTGTGTGTGCTAATGGCCCATTTGCTACAGTTTCTGGGATGAATTTTAGGGGGGAAAGGGAAACTTTTAGAGTAGGGGATATAATGAGCCACACAATGTATCAGCCAGTTGAAACGGCTTACAGAGAGATGGCTGCCTTCGTCTGGATTAGAAATGGCATAGGGAGGGCATTCTCTTACCTTCGAATTTTGACAACCCCCAAGGTTTCAGTGACCCGTCTGAATTGATCTTTGACAAACTGATTCAGTGGTTTTGGAATTCCTGGTCACAAATCCCCGGGTATTTGCCTAGGTATTTGCAGGGTAAATCCCCTGCCTTTTTGACTAGAAGACTTACTCCAAACCCAGATCCCTTTGAGATTTACTCTGCTTTGTTTCCCAAATAGGTAGGCGGTGCCACTGCTAAACCAGACTTCCAGGGAGGGGACAAGCCCCTGTCACCCTCGTCAGTCTAGATCAGCTTTTCTTTTCCCTTCCTGATTCCCTTCCTACCAGCTGAGTCAGGATCCCGGTAACCCTCCACCACGCTGCGCCTCAGCAACCAAACCGCACGGCCAGCCCCTGGTCTCCGGAGGTGTTCTCGGTGGTGCGGCGGGGCTCTAGAAAATGCTTCCCAAACACACCACTCCGCTATTCCTGACAGCCTCACACATTACAGGTGGGCTTTTTACATGGCTCTGTCCGAGGCTAATGACTAGAAGAAAGAACAAGTAGTTAGAAACATTTTTCTTTCAGCCTTTCTTTGAATTCAACTTGAGGGCTTTGCTGTTTGCTGTTCATTTTTATGTATTTTTAAATGTTTATTTTTCTTAACCGTTTCAAATGGGGTTTGACATCCTAGCAGGCCGGGTGATGATTACTGTTGAAATTCTTTAAACTCTGGGGTTGAAGGGTGCTGGTCTGGCCGCGGGCTTTGGGGCTGGAGACTGGGACGAACAACCGAGGTGGAGGGAATCACCGGCGGGACCGTGCTCACCTCAATTCCAGCTGACGACCCGACTCGCAGGGTGATGAAGAGTAAGGCCAGTTCACCAAGTGTGCCTCCTGGGTACTGCCTGCGGCAGGCAGGCCGTCTGCAAAGCCAGCCACCAAAGGACATTTGATGAGTCTTGGGCAGAGGTTGTTGAAGGTGGCCTGGCCCTCCCTCAGCCTCTGGGTGACTGGCCGACCCAGAGACAGCCCCCGAGGCAGGGCCTGCTTCTCTCCCCAGGCTGTGACCTGCACCCTCCCTTGGAAGAGCAGACAAGGGGGCGCCTGGGTGGCTTAGTCGGTTAAGCGTCCGACTTTCGCTTAGGTCATGATCTCACGGTTCGTGGGTTCGAGCCCCGCGTCGGGCTCTGTGCTGACTGCCAGCTCAGAGCCTGGAGCCTATTTCGGAGTCTGTGATTCCCTCTCTCTCTGACCCTCCCCTGCTCATGCTGCCTCTCTCTCTCTCCTAGAAATAAATAAAACATTAAAAAAAAAAAAAAAAAGGAAGAGCAGACAAGGCAGACACAGCCAAGGGGCAGTGGGGTTGCCCCCTCCAGAGGGCACCTTCGGAGGACCAGCGGCACAGACACGTTTTGAAAGGCACCTCTGCCGACTGAGAGAACATTCTCCGTGTGCTGAAAAAACCACCACCCAAAGCCCCCGACCAGCTGGCACTGGCCCCATAGTTTTTGGCAGCAACAGCAAAGCACGGAGTCCTGCCGGGAGAAACAGCTTTGAATTCAAATATAAAGCTGATCAGAATATGGATCACACAGAGCTGCCAGTTACTTGATGGGTGTCGGGAGTAAAACACACCCACCCTTTAAGGGACCGCCCGAGGGCATTATCTCTGATCAGCAATTCTCAGAAACAACGTCAAATCCTTTTCAAAAGGCCGGAATTCCCACTTGTTCTCCCCTCCCATTCAAGGCAGCCTTGAAGTGCAAGGCCCTGGGATCCTGCTGGAGGGCTGCTTCCGAGGCTGAGGCTGTGGAGCCCGACGCTCAGGCAGTTTCACAGCAGCTGCAGGGAAGCAGCCTGGCATGTTTCTGGATCACTGTGTTGTTTTCAGTTACTGTCGGGATTCTCAGGTGGGCTGAAGAGCAGGGAACCAGTGGGAAACTGAGGCACAAGAGGACAGAATCTGGACTCGCCCCCAAGCCCAAACTCCCTTCTCTACCCTCATCCCCTGACCTTCAAGCCTTCTGGAGTTCGTGGGAGGATGGGGCGATAATGCGCGAGCCTGACGAGCCAGCCGCTTTCAGTCTGGGCCTCTGAGCGAGTTCGTTACCACTTCTGCACCGGGAAAATGACATTACCTGCC